TGGGGGCTGGGGTGGAAGTAAGCAAGTGGGTTAATAATTTCGTACATGAATGGAAGGATGCAAGTGTAGTTTCGGCTTCATTCCCTGACTTCTGTATGAGTGAGAGGGGCCTGAACATGAGAATTAAATAAGAAGAAAAGAAAAAAAGCTATCATGGTTCAGAAGTTCCCAGATTTTGTCTGTATAGGAGAAACACCTCCATTTTGCATGTCATCTGTCTGACCCTGGTTCCATCAAACAAAAAGCGCACTGTCGACAGATCTTTGCCTTGTCGCATACAGAACACCTCCATAAGTTTTTTTAGTTGTGTCGTACGCTTAATCTCAAAAAAATTCGGAGAGAGAGCCGTTCATTGTTGTTGTCCGTCTCTTTAATATTGAGGTGTTCGGTTGGAGAGGGAGCCGTTCCGCCCTGGTTTTCTTGTGATGGCTGATCCATGGTTTCGTATTGAGGAGATTGTGTCAAAAGAGTAGCAGGGCGGAACGGCACCCTTGTTGTTTTCAAAAGGACTATCTATATCTTCAGTGAGCACAGCAGCTACAGATGACTTCTTCAAAGAACTATGAAACTGACCAAGAGGTTCAGTAGATGAGAAGTCTCAGTGAAATTTATAATGAAATAGCTAATGTCTCTGTCTTTATACTTTGAGGGGGGGAGCGTAGGTCTGAAGGCATATAAAGCCAGCCTTCCTCCCACTTTGTTTCCCTCGCTCGATCTTCCCTTTTCTCCTCGTAAAATGCCGCAGTTTTCACTATTGTGCCTACGGTTCAAAACTTAGCCCAAAACAAACCAATGGCACCTGACGTTCAGAGCGATAGCCACAAATGATCTTGAAAGGTGTACGTGCAATGGAGAAAGCATCCCTTGTTGATTGATGGAACGCGATCGTTTAGATGTCTGCATCCCCTTGCACAACTTGGAAGTAGAATTAAAGTTCCTCAGCATCCGGAGTTTCTAATTTTCCGGATTGCACCTCCAAGCAAGAATTCTTCTGGAGAAACTACCAATCATTTTCCTTTCTAATTACAAGTATGTACCATTAGCTAGCATGCTCTCCCTTTGCGATTTCCATACTTGATCAGATGTGCGTTTACTCTTTCGCTTTCGGCTTTTGCCCTTATATTACATATAATTCACGGTATATGTGAAGTTCCTCTCTTTTCAGATCTTTTCTCACTTGTGCCAGCAATACTTGCAACTCATTGACCATCGAAGACCCTGAGTGAAAACCTGGAGTGAAAATGCTTCTAGTCCTTCCAGGATATCCTGAATAGCGAAACTGCCCAATAGCTTCAATTTATTGCATTCTTGCCATGGCCCTATTGGAATCTATTTCACTTTAGTGGTGGGTCCTCATCATACCATGAATCTTTGAATTTTGATATTGACAAAGCCAGCATTTTCCATCCCCTGTGCGCAGATATTTGCTCCGCAGAAAGGCTTTCTCAGTTTATTTCGGCCCTCTATGATATGCTGTTGCCATTCAAGTGCGTGTACGGCTTTTTTATGTGTCCCATCATCTGAGAGGAAGCCGTGCTCAAGTGATTTGAGTTCAAAGTATCCATCCGGTTTTAAATGCTCAAAAGCTTTTTTGCACAGTTTTTCACAGTTGGAGATTGAACCATCCAACTCCCGTCCATGGATGAGATTGAATTTGTATGGCAATTTTAATTCCTTAAAGTTATTAACCTCAAAAGTGCAATTTGGTGGAACACTGGAATCAATCATAAGCCAGGGGTACATTGTAGAGTGGGTACACTTCTTACAAGAAAGGTTGAATTGGGCTCAAATCATTTCCTCGAACCACCGCACTGGGATATTTGCTGCTGTGGTGATTAGCCAGACTCAAAGCAATATTTATGGACTTCTGATTTACACACTCAGCACATTCTATTGCCCAGATACCTGTTCCCATTCCCATATCAAGAATATCCTGAGGGCTATCACTTATGGGAGTGAGAAATAGTTCACCCAAGGCCAGTTCGTATGTCCGGTGCACCTGTGTCCTGGTCAGATTTTATGCAATGAGTATCAAGTGTAATCATTTACCATGTCCATCCGATCTTTCTCCAGCTCATCATTCGGCTATCAAGAAGTTAATAAACATGATTCTCCACTGTAAAGAGAGAGCACTTACCAAAAGGTATTTCCCTTCACAAAATGCATGATATGTCCGGCCATGCTGCTTAATTAGCTTGTGTAGGCCATGTCTACTGTTGAGTTCCCCTTACTAGAGCTCTGAGATTGTTAGCTGGGATAATCATTCTTGGTGTGAAACAGGTCCTTACGGATAATCGGTGACACTTGGTGTGAGAGGAATTAAGTCTTCCCCTAATTCAGAGTGGTAGTCGCTGCCCGCCTCCTCCTCTTCCTCCTCTTCCTCCTCTTCCTCCTCTTCCTCCTTTTCCTCCTCTTCCTCCTCTTCCTTCTCTTCCTCAACTACCCTCCCCCCTCGCCGTTCCACCCTCGCCTCTATGCCATCAGAATTGTCCGTGGAAGGTAATTGTTCTCTTGCTGTCCCAGGTCGACTAGGTAATTTGACAGCCATAGTGAAAAAAAGAAGGGATGATGAACATGGTTTCCAATTTGCAGATGTTTGGGGGATGGTTTCCCCCTAATATGTATACATTTTGAGGAGTTAAGAACTATACATATCAGTTTTTTTATGGATTACAACGACAACAGCGAGCCTAGGCTTTGAAAACTGAGGAAAAATGATCTTAGCACCTTTATTAACTCAAATTTGGTCACATATCTTGCTAATAATCCAATCAGTTAGAAAGAAAAATGGGTGGAAATTGGACTGTAATAACTAGCAACAGGCGACCTGGTTGTGCCAGGCACAGATCATCATTGCTTGTTATTTAAGCTAGCATTAACGGCGTGTGGGTCATGCGTTTTTTTAGCGTTGTTATTCAGATGCAGTTAGAGAGGTGCAAGGAACAGCCAGCCAAGAGAACTATGAAGAAAACCACTCATTTGACCTGCCCAGTAGCAATCCGCTAAGATCTAAAAGTCTACCATGGCATTTTGCCTAAGCGCATGAATATATCATATAACTATAAGAAATTTAAATTATGTCAACTGTTTGCCTTACAAATGTGCTATGTTGGCATCCCCAGGTTCTTAGCTCATCAAAGCCACCAACCGCCAATGAATATGCACCGAAAACGACGCAAAAGTTCTTCTTCCACTTATATAGCCGATTTCGCGAGGGACGGTACGGGGGGGCTTCAGGCTGTTTTTAGGCCGTTAGTGGAGCTCTTGTGTCATTCCATTCTAATAACATACTAATGTTTCCACTGGGTCAAGATGTTTCCCCATGGTTCCTCAAGAAGGTAACCCCACGTCGGCGAAGGTGCTGGATATCTTCAACTGTAACAGCAACAAAAAAACAAAAGCTCTCATCATAAGATCTGAATATAAGAAGTAAACCCCTATCCTGAATGGAGATTCCCCGCAGAGTGACTTCAATAGAGCTTGTATCTTCAGCCTCGGGTAGAACACTCCCTCCAACATGATGAATTTTAAAGGAGCCTAAAAACTGGCGATAGATCACTTCCTTCCAATAATGCTCGCCTGTGTCGTTCGCATTTTTCATGATAACCAGTTCTAGGTCCAGAGCGTGTCGAATCTTTCGAATTGCTGCAGACAAGGATTGATTATGCGGGTTATTAGCCAAGAGAAGATCATGGTAGATAGCGCCAGGAGCTTGGTATTGATTTAAGGAGCGTGTATGTCTGCCAGGCACCGACACTGCGTTGATGATCGCAATGTTCGTAATTCGGACTCTCGGTCTTGGGTCATAGTTTATCTCAATCCCGTCCGCGGATTCCGCTGGAGTTTCGAGGACGCCATTTGTGTAGGATGTCATAATGATCACAAATGAAGAAGGCGATGGGGAAATAAGTTTGTATACATGGACTTTCCGGTGGGGGAGAAGGAAGAGGGAAGAATTTATACCAGCTGGGCTTGTTGTCCCAGATGCCAGCAGCGAAAACAGAACATCCGATGAGCTGAGAAACTATATACACCGACACCAATCGCAGCATTCATGGATGCATATCCACAAGTTTGTCCATAATCCGATCACAAAGCTCATAGTGACAGCAGAACCAACCCTCCAATTAAGAGCTTTGAATGGGATAGTCATGGTGTGGGTGTGTGATCCATAAAAAGAGAGCGTAACAGCGCGAGGAATAGAAGTCTTTTCACCAATGATATGCAGGTGGCCACTACTCAATGGGCATGACCGGATGAATTGCATTGCATCCCTGATATAACCAGCCTCGAGCAACATGGCAACCCCCGCCCACGAGGTCATAAGATCAGATGGTGAGGCTGGAAGTACCTTGCCAGTGCCTGCACTGATCAAGTACCCATTCACCCGCCTTACGATTTGGAGAATAGGAGGCGAAGCCTAGTTCTATTAGCGAAGCCTATCACAGATGGGACATGTACATACCACTGGCATGATCTCAAAACTGGAGGGTTTAGCCTGCAAGCTGGCAATGGTGCTCCGTTGAACTGTGCGCTCAACTGTTTTCCAGTTTGGGCGATGATTAGCACGCCCTTCGCATGCAATGATGGTAAATTTCTCCTTGCGAGGCAATAATCCGAGTGCGAGCCAACATGGATGCCAGTCGGTATTCAAACAAGGCAACGGGCGAGCGGTGAAGCGTTTCTTATAATCGAAAGCACTGAGGTGCAAAGCCGGCCTCAATTAATATCAAGATAGTGATCCCTTGCATGAGGATGGCTCGGGCTCAAGCTGGGCATGTATCACATTCGCCTTCACGGATATCGTTTTCCAAGGCGATCGACGCAAGCCCGTGTCTCCGCCCGTGTTGCGCCTCTCCACAAGCCATTTCCACCTTTTGGATGAATGCATTAGTGAAGCATAGGTGATGGAACCAACGGCAAGCGACCACTGTCCTCATTGGGCCAAGAAAAGACCAGCTGTGCCGTGATGGCCTAAAGCCTGACCAAGGATAGCTTCATTAAGCCAAAAGTCACTTTTTCAAGATGTTCTATCTTTCCCAGGCATCCCGTACCAGCAATGGCATGGGTTGCATGAACGCCAGGGGCAATCGACCTGTGGAAAGCAAGGCGCAACACTTGGGCCGCTTGGCCCAGACCCAAGTTCGCTCACCACTGAAAAACTGGACTCCACACTCACGTGATAATCGTGCGCATCGCACACGATTATCATGTGTAGATCTTTTCTCAGCGGGCTCAGACCCTCTGTTCTGCTCGGTTGCAGCATATTATCTAAGTAATCCGGCACAGCACTAAACCAGTTTTGTCAAAGTCATGTGCTCAGAGCAATCCTCACCAGAGGGTCTGGAGACACTGCGCAGTAGAATTTGGGTTTAGCTTCAAGAGTCACTACAAAAGTATACAGCACTTTGTTCTCGAGGAAACCATATCTCAAAACCAAAATTATGGAGATTCTTACTCTCTCCCAAGTGCTAGAGAAGCTCTCTCCCTCTACAGTACTTAATTCAGAGGTAATATATTACCATGTCTTAGATTGGGCATCACTTTCTTAAAGCGGCACTAGAGCTTATTGCATGACTTCCGTCAGTTCTTGCTTAGGGGCACTCCAGAGCAGTGTTTTGAACTCATCCCAGTGCAATACAGATTCTCAAATATTGCAAATATTTCTACCCCTCCATCATCAATTCATCCGTCACGCACCCTGCCTCAGGGTCCATCACTGGGGCGACTCATTTCAAAATTACTTCCCAATGTATCCGTCCAGCGCCTCAAAGATCCTCTACCCTGCACTTCCAGTTGCTACAGCCGCTCAGTGGGCACAGAGACAACCTATCCTCCCAGCACTTCAAACCTCGATCGTCGCTCAGTGGTTATAAGGAATACACAATATGCTCTACAGAGTCGCGTATCCAAGAAGCGACAAAGTGCGGAGGCAAATATTGACAAGAGCCAGGGAAGGGAATTGGCCGCGGCGTGGATGGAGGAACAGTTTATCAAATTAAAAGAAAACTTCAATGATGTTTCTTTTTCAATAACCTCCTGTGAAAAGATTTGGGGATCAACCAAGAGTCTCTTGGATATGTCCCTTTCAACACCGGCACTCCGGTTGAACAAGCTTTTGAAAGGATCAGAAGCAAGAGAAGCCAATGCTCTCTTTGCAAATCGCCTTTCCTTACTCTTCATGATTCACGAGGTTGATCAGAAAACTTGGTCAATTAAATTGACTGGAACCAAACGCAAGACTAGGGCATTCAATCAAGTTGCTGCAGATCAAAAATGTAGTGAAGGAGAAATAAAAACATATGATAGACAAGGTAGAGGCTACATTAAGTTGATGAAAGAAGTTGACCCAGTGATTGTGTTTGAGCTGAGCAAGGAAGTTTCCAACTTGTGACTTTGCCATTCTCTTTCACATGGACTATTATTAACCAACACACTCATTAGATGTGAATATCGCTTAAACAATGAACAGCAGCGGTTGTTCACCAACTGGCTTCAACAGAAATATTTCAATGAAGGCAGGACTAAGAAGTGCATTTCATCAGTGAAACTCATCCTTGATGGATTAATATCTTACAACAAAAACGGCGAAAATGGCGAAAACAGCAAAAATCCTCATGCCACTCTTAGAAAAGCTTCGAGCAGCCTGTTAAACATAGTGAGAAAATACGTGACCTGGGATGATGATGGTACTATCCACCTGAAAAGTAAGATTTCAAGCCTGATCTCCACTTCTCTGCCGACTCTAACATGTTTTAGAACACATTTCAACCAACAATCCTTCACAGCAAACAGGAACTTCGAATCAAAATAAACACACATCCCCAACTTACAGTTGTCCAAGTGGCTCGGGTGCTCGTGAGTGCAATGGTCGACAACTAAGTCCCATCGGGGAGCTTGCATTTGAAGAGCGAGAGGCGGCCCGAATGCTTCAACAATTTCAACAACAGCTAACACAGCAACCCATCAATAATAACAACCCAAGTGGCAACCATTCAGCTTATGACCCTGCCTATTATTCAATGCAATCTGAACCGACATTAGCAGGTGCACTCATACCGCAATTTCCCCAAGGTTACGGACAATCTGTCAACCCGTCCGTCGAGGGAGATGTTTACCCAAACCCGGGTTACGGACAATCTGTCAACCCGTCCGCCGAGGGAGATGTTTACCCAATTGCTTTTTGCCAGCTCACGGAAGCAGATTTACAGTATCTTAATGGAGAATTCATGGTGGAAAATTCAAGTCCTGTAACTAGGCTTGCACAGACAGTTTAATTTATTGCCCCCCAGTGGATGCAACCGTTCCAGCCATTGTCCCTTCTACCTCAGTTCGCCCAACAGCGATTCACTCCAGCCTGCTTTCATTGGACATTGACGCGTCTTCTGGTACTGAGATAATGAGAAAGTCCAACTGAGCATCGACAACTTGATTACTTGTAAACCGAGTATATTTCCCTGGTTCAAAGCGTACGCCATGTATATCTACAGCTCCCAATAGTGGAAAAAAAAGATTGTCAAACCCCAGTCCTTTTAGAATCCTCGTATATCCGGAAATTCTGTAGAGGGTAAATTTGCAGCCCTAGCACAAATAGTTAGCAACATCGCGAATGAGTCATGGGTCAGAGGTATCTACTTTGTCCAGTTTCAACTTGCTTAGCAGCGGATCGACCTTCTGAAATCTTGCCGTATCAACGCAACGCCATGTGTTTTTCGCCTGAGTGACCATTTCTGCCGTCCGAAACCACTCTGCTAACTCATTCAAATCTCGTTTAGCATCGCTATCAATTGTCGAAGGTTCGAATTCGCTTGTATCTCTTGATTCCGTGTCAACTTTATCGGAGGCCATGATGATGTAAGATGGGGAGTTCCCTCTCTCAAATGATCTAAACTTATTAATATATGCCTGAAGATGCTAAGCTGAATTATAACTCACATCTGTGACAAGGGATATATGAGTTTGCGGCGACTGGAAAAAGAAAAAAAATAGGGAGAAAAAAATTTGGCGGGGCATGCGTCTCAAAATGACGCTTTTATGCATGAAAGAGCTTAGTTCATTATAAATGTAATCGGGGAGAAGTCGCGTGGCGCCGCACTCGATCGTGGTGCCCGACCGGAAAAAAAGCTCTTTCAGCTGCAATATCTTTAACGTGCGTTGGCGCCTCGTGATTATTGGGGTAGGAGCATGTGGTGCATAATTTCGGTTCACAATGTCAAAGTTGTAAATCCGTCCACAACAATTCTCAACCGGTACGCCATACCCAAGGAGTTGGGTATGAGCAGACCCTGGTACAAGGTTGGAGCAAATCCTTAGGAATAGATGTCGTTTCCTGCGGCTGCCTAATATATTTATGGCCTAACCAGGAGAAGCAGTGATGGGGCGCAAAGATCATATTTATCTCTATAAATGTCTTACCGTGCTCCCCCGAGTTGATATGTTCTTATTGATCAGTATTACTGTTTCCACCTCGCGCACCCAAGACTTGTCGAGCCGCGCTATTATCAAACACCGGACAATTGTTCATCCTGATTGTACGATGATCTTTCACAGTGAACTTCATGGTTTAAAGAAGCATTGTTACTGACATTAAAAGTATGAGTAGCTTAGTCAAAATGACCGATAAATCTGAACCGGACCAGGCGAAGGGCAAGGAGGCAATGGTTGGTATGAAGGCGGATGTGAAGACTCTCCAATTGCTCAGCTCTTCGGCCAAGGCTGCAACAGATAAGCGAGAAAAGATTAAGGATGAAAAAGCAAAGCTCGCTCTTGAGGAAGCTATTCATATAGCACTCGGAGAGCAGAACCAGACGGGTTCAAGCGAGGAAGCCGGGCAGTGACAAATTAGGAGTCGGACTTGTGTGAGTGTCTTCCTCAAATGCTTGCCGAAGTCGGGCATCATAATCCTTTCTGTCCGCTAGCTTGCGTGTTGCAATGCTCACTATATCCTGTGCCCAGTACCATGGCATAATTTGGTGAAACGCACCATGATCGGGACATTTCTCAATTAGTTTTGGTTGGAGTTTTTTGCCAAAAAGTGTGAAAAGCCCAGTTGGGCTGGACAGGGCGAGGCTATACCAGAATGTCCCCATCTCCCAAGCCTGGCTCATGATAGCTGATAGTTTAAACGTGTTGCTAGCACTGTCAAGTTGCTCTTCTTCATCAGTCAAGATGTTCATAAACTCCACTTCGAGCTTTCTCATACTCCTCAGTCACTATCTGATACACACTCTTGTTTTGTCATCCAGTGAGGAGGTTGAACCATCTCAACAGGTAAAGAGCATCCCACATTTCCTGGTCAACAAGTGAAGTAATATGCCAGGCTTCATCAACAAAAATATGGCTTTGTATGAAGATCATTTCAACAAAAAAGTGAATGGTCCG